ACAAAAAGAGTGATCAGTAACATACTAACCAATAACTTTCTTGGACAATTCAATAAAAATATCTTAAAAAAGACTTGGTGCATCATCTTTCAATATTTTATTGCTGTCTCTTCTTTCCGCCTCAGAAGCAGCCCAATCGAGCTTTCTTGATCCATAAGTACTCCTATAATTTAATGGAGAGGCGGATTAATATTCGTATGTGACAGCAGGGAATCAATAATCTGATAAAATTGAAGCTTAGGTCTTAAACATCAATTCCGTCGGTTTAATTTTTTTTCTAACTTTCCTAGGTCGTCGATTTTGTGGTGTTATACGTACCCTGTCGCGGACCTGTTTGGCACACTATGCAAATATATATAACGGCTGGACGTCATTTCTCTTCATGATAAAATCAGTGCATAATTTCATCATTTTTGTCATATTTGTTCAATCTTCCACTTTTATAATATATAATATATGTGAAAAATAGTTTTTAAAAAAATCTAAATTTTATAATATTGACTGAAAAAATTGTAATTATTTGTGGCCTGATAACAGAATTTACAAAATTTATTAACTGACGAATTAAGTTGATTATAAATCTATAAATCCCATATACTCGAAAAAATAAAATAAAAATAAAAATCTCGATTTCCTTACTGATTAAACCATAACATCTTCACAAAAACATAAACTTCAACTTATTTCTGCTGATTCTCTATGTAAAGTTGAGTTTCACCTTCTTCCACTAGTTTCTTTAACTCTATCATCGTGTCTTTTGACATTCTGTCTGAAAAAATCCTTCCAAATAAGTTCCAATTTTTGATGTTGTACATTTTCCACTACACAGTGAATCTCGATTTAGCGGATACTAATTAAAAATCCCCGTTTTACGGATAAAGTTCAAAGAACAGTCCCTTAATAAAACCCTCTCGATATAGTGGATATCTCGGTTTAACGGATTTTTTGAAAATTGCCCAAACTATCCACTAAATCGAGATTCACCATGTACCATTTTGATCATATTTATGATAAATAATATTAGATAAATACTTATAGGCTTGCATTGGATCATAATTATCATTATTTACAATTTCTAACCTATTCTTATCCTTTTTATCCATGAAAGATCACTTGGATATTAGAATTATT